AGTAACAAACTAGACAGAAGATTGAGTGTGCAGTTAAAGTCAGTTTCTAGACTAACAAATTTTCCTCAGTGAACTAGCATTGGGTTCAGTTCCTTGGACACGATACTATGTTCTTATGTTTTAGTTCTCTGTAAATATTAATAATATAGTGTGGTTGTGTGGTATAATGAGATTGTTAGCTACCATAACATATAAGTGATGCCAAAATTTAGGAAGTTATATTGTCTTAGCAAAATTTCTGCAGCACTTAAGTACAGCAAGCTACGAGGATCTAATTCCCATTAGCCAAATTGAATCTGCAGCCAACCGAAATACCCCTGTTTCTGAAAGTTAGCTTGTAGCCACAGAGGCATAGGCTCTCTCTCTGCCTTGGGTGGTTTCACAGCCAAAGCTGTCAAGGAATGGGTGAGAAGTAATTGTTTTCAAGTGTGCCCTTTTACAATCATTTGTTTGCTCTGGCTCTTTCAGGGACAAAGGCTATTGTTGAACACATCCAACTAAACAAATAACTCATCCTGGGGTCCCTTTAACAGCTGCCTTAGTACAATGATCTATTTACATATTAGCCTAAAATTGAAACTGAACTCTTTAATGACATAATCCAGCACTATAGTCCTGGGGCGCATGTGTTCTACCCAACAGCTGAACAATCTTGTAGGCATATGATTTTTTAGAAATAACTTTTTTGTGGACCAAGTGATGTTAAGGAGACATCTCAATATACTGTCTTATATTTTCTCTCCCCTTTTGTTCCTTCATCGAACCCACGTGGGTGCCTTTTACCCTCTTTGTTTTCTTGCTTGATAAATAAAGAGGAATACAGAGGGTCTCTGTCACCCATTTCTCTGTTGGTAAGCTATAGCAGTAAGCTTTATTCTGTATTCCAACATTTATCCTGCCTTTCTCCTGTAGATTTCACTTTCCTGTGGCTGAAGATTAAAGGATGAACGGCCAGATGTTACAGATTACTCAGCAACAGCTCCAGTCCTTACTAGGCATGCTGCAATAATGCTTAGGAGTTTTACGTGATTTCCAAAGTATATTTAGTCAAAGCCACTATAACTTGATGACTTCTTATTTGGCTTTTAAAAATGGAAAGAGAAAATTAGCTTGAATTTCTTTTTAAGATTCATGGCATTGTCAGACATAAAGTGAAGGACCTGCATGCCTGACACAGACATGTTAGGAGGGAAAAAAGAAAAAAATCACCACCCCCCCTCACACACTAGTTCTCATCTGTCTAAAGCAGTGTTGTAGCGTGGACTCAAGTCAGTTTAATTGACTTCAGTAAGACTATTGGTTCATTGAAACCAAAGCCAGAATGATGGCTCTATCTATCTTCAAATAGGTGTTTACACTGCAGACCTCACACAGTGCAAAATGTTACCATCCTGCTGGGCCAGAACAGCGTGAAACCTTAAAAAGAATAATATTCTACTTGATTTCAGATAATTTATTGAAACCTATTTGTGAAACTTTTGATGAAGGATCTTACAGGCAGGACACATTCCAAAATTGTAAAAGACAAAATTCTTTAGGCACTAAAAGCAAGCTGTCCCTGCATAGCAGCTGGGAAAGTGTACATGGGGCTCATTCTGTTTCAATTATTTAAAAAGAAGGAGGAGGAGGAGGAGGATGTAACATGGGGCTAATTTTGTTAAAATAATTAAAAAAGAAGGCTGAGGAGGAGGAGGAGGAGGAGGAGGAGGAGGAAGAAGCATGCATAGTCACCATAAAAGCAAAGGGCTCAGGCAGCTGGAGAGGTAGCTTCAGCTCCCTGAAGTTGTTTAGCTCCTGGAGGATAGCTATATGATAAATAAAAAGAACCAAGTTGAACACTATTAATATTAAATAGATCTGGCCAGGCCTGCCAGAGCATTGACAATAAAAGACATTTAAAACATCCTTGGAATGCAAATTCTAAGCATCTGGAATATGTTTCCTTTTACAAAACTTCAACCATTCAGGCAGTTGTCATTTAAACAAATTGATAAAAATTAAAATATAAATATAACTATGATTAATACGTTTTGAATGTTGTAAGTAGTTATATTTTTTTCTGAACTAGAGTGACCTCAATCAGACTGTTCAACGCTCAATATGATTTTTTCAAGCCTTGTTCCTTAAGATTTACTTACATTAGCTCAACATGTAAAAGAAATATTTGTTTTAAACAATTTTATAAAATCTCACACTTTTAGTTTTAGTGAATAGCTCCAAAGAAATATTTAAGTTGAAGCAGTGATAAAAACAGTATAAAATTCACATTATGTTTTATAGTCTGAAAAAAATCAATGATTAGTTTGGATAATACTAATGTCATTTCCCAGATACTGTACTGTACTGATATTACCTCCCTATATTTATGAAAGGGGCTCCTAAAGTCAGGTTTCTAAGTTAGTACTAGGTACTAAGATGATCCTATTACCAACTACCAACTTCAGTAAATTGCAGTGTCTTCCTAAATTGCTCTTACTGAAATAAGAGATATTGTTGTAAAAATAATAAGTTTTTCCTTTCATTGAAATTCACTAATGTACAAAAGCACTTTCATTAAACTCTGTGTTTATTCATGCATATAACATACCTAAGGAGCTAGCTAGGAAAATTTTTCTGGCTAAGATATAATGAATAATAAAAATGGGTTTTAAACCTATTTGATTCAGTTCAACATAAAGGCAGGTTTGAAAACTTTCTTTGGGCCACATGCAAATTGGAAATAAGTAGAAATTTGCAAAAAAATGTTGTTAAGTACAGTTTGGAGAAGATCACATCAGGAACACCAGGAAGGAAATAGATTTTCATCTAAGACGTAAATAAGCCATGTCTTTAAAATTTATACTTTAGGTACAGTTGAATACAGATATTTATACTTTTTAAGTTAAATATGATTCAGTATATGCTTTGGGGCAGAATAAAGCAATCGAACATTCAGCAGCCTATAAATATCTTTAAAGTTTTCATGCCAGAAGGACAGATTCATTGAGGTTGATTTGCAAAGGCAAGAAGGGTTTGTATGTTTATATATGTTGTATGTTTAAATGTGTCTCTCCCTGATCACTGTTTCCCCACACTTGCCTCAAAGATAACTTGTGTCCTTATAAAAGCATTTGTATTGTGACACAGTAATTCTCTCATCTGAATTAGACTTTTCTACTTCCATTATTGAAAAGAGGGGGACCCTGACTCTTCTCATGACTAACAAGACCTGTTTCTGATTTATGGCTTTCAGATCTTTTCTGCTACCAACAACACAGAATGTGGGAAGTTGCTGGAGGAAATCAGATGTGCCCCTTGTTCCCCACGTTCCCAGGGCCTGTTCCATGCACCTGAGAGAGAAGTCCTCCATAGGGACCCAGTACTTCCACTGCTCTGTGAAGACTATTGCAAAGAATTCTTTTATACTTGCCGAGGCCATATTCCAGGTAAAAAAAAAAAAAAATTTTAATGGGTACATTAAATCATTGCCAAACGTCCTTATAAGATATCTATTCTTAAAGGCTTGTTTACAAGAGTTTTAAAATGTATTTTGTCTTCCAAAAGACCTATTTTACTTCATAATTAACTTTTCTAAAGACTTAAGTTTTATTTATGAAAGTGTTACAATTTCAGTCAACAAGTGATACACTAGTTTTGTTGCAATGGTTTACATTTCTTGTTAAGCTACTAATACAGGTGATAAACTTTCTGTACATTGGATGATCAGTACAACTTTCCTCCCTCCCTCCCTTCCTCCTCCCTCTTCCTCCCTCCCTCCCTCCCTCCCTCCTCCCTCTTCCTTCCTCCCTCTCTCCCTTCCTTTCTCCCTCCCTCCCTCCTTCCTCCCTCTTCCTTTCTCCCTTCCTGATGAAACCAGAAGTTCTGTGAAGTAGGCTGTGCTGGTGTCCACAGCTGCAGGGACAAAGGACCAGAACCCAGGTAGCTTATAAACATAAGTCATTCCTAGGCAGGCATGGTAACTCATGCCTTTAATCCCAGCACTTGGGAGGCAGAGGCAGGTGGGTCTTTGTGAGATCGAGCCCAGCCTGGTCCACATAGCTAGTTCCAGGCAAGCTGGGGCTACAGGGAGGCCGTCTCAAATCCCTCCTCCCTCCTCCTCCCTCCTCCTCCCTCCCTCCCTCCTCCCTCCTTTCCTCCTTCCTTCCTTCCTTCCTTCCTTCCCCTCTTTCTTGTTTTCTCTCAGTACTAAGGGTGGAACCCAGGGCTCTGCACAAGATACATAAGTGCTCTGGCCCCTGCATTACACCCCCACCCCCAATACGGATTTCTTCTTGGAGTCTTCTTTACTTAACAGCATCAATATCAAGGCAGCTGCCAATATAGGAATACAGAATGCTCACTGGTGCTTGAAATATTTCTTTAAATAAAGCTTGACTAGGAATCCCAAACAAGCAACATCTTACCAAGCTCCTTCACATAAAATGCTTAATTGAAGCCTCAAAAACACCATGAAACATGCAAAGAGTGGAGTCCTTTCTTACAGAGGAGTAAAGCTGAACCCCAGGAGAGTCTTCCTGCTTTAATCAAAGTTGGACAATGAGGATGGTCGAATAGCTGCAGACATTCTTCTGCACAGGGTGTCACAAAGACACCTCCCTGATCACCATCATATTTCAGACGCTAATAAACACATAGATTCCGAACATCAATGAAGGGCACCATCAAAAACGTATAACTTGGGTGGCTGGGGAGATGACTTAGTCAGCACAGCATGTGCCACACAGGCGTGAGGACCTGAGTTCAGATCCCAAGAACTCATGGTTCTGTACATCTGTAACCTTGAGGCAAGGGGCACAGACAGGCAGATCACAGGAGCTGGCTAGACCAGCTGGCTCAGTGAGAGACCCTGCCTCCAAAGATCAGGTGGAGAGTGAGTGAAGAAGACATTGAAGGTCGACCTCTGCCCACCCCTGACAAACATGGTCACACGCACACATCAAAAAAGGTTTATAACTTCTGTAGCTGCCTCTTCAATTGCAAGAATCAACATGGAGGAAGAACATAGTTTAACAAGGCAGATTCTGTTTAGCTCGATTGAGTCACACAAACAAATCTGCTGCAGCACGCAGTTGATAAAACTAAACGGTGTCTAAAGCATCAACTTAAAGAACTGTAAAATATGACTTAGAGAATTGTTTCAAACTGCTGTATACATCTTAGTATTTTTCTGACCCACCAAAATATACATTTTTTTAATTCCTAATAAACCACTCCTATAAATGATAAATATTTTAGGTTTCTTGGTACCTCTGGGTATAGCATGGTATGTATCTAAACCCAGTTGGATACACAAATATTATCGTTTTTCATAAACTGAAGCCGTGTTTCTGACTTTTCTTAAACTAGCTGTTTCTTCCTCTTTATCACATTCCTTCTCCCAAAGTGCAACAGCTCACAGTAGCCTGGATGGCCTGCAGAGGGGTGATAAGAGATTGGAAACCAGCAGGGTTGCTACAGACCTCCTGCTTTACAACCATACATCCATGGTGCTATAGGCACTTAGCGTCTTCATTTAATGTTATCACTTTTAAGGAAATGCAGCACAATAAATTCACACCCACGGAGGTCTTTACATATCCAAAGTTATTTAGTATCCCAAATAACACAACAAGTCTACAAGATCAATTGAGAGAGCTCATTAAGCAGTTCAAATCCAGAACTGCAAACACGTCACTTCCCAGATCAACATATGTGGTGACGAATGACAAATTTATTTTTCTACAAAGTTTGTGTATATGTAAAACTGCTGAAGTGCATCAAGATGTCAAGTGCTCTTGGGGGCCACCCAGGCTGCCTTGAAAGATAACCAGATGAAAGCCGCACTCCAGAGGTGGAAGGCACAGTGAGGGTCTGCCTTGGGGAGGCTTCGGCAACAAGCAGAGGGGACTGACTGCCCTTCTTAGTCACATGCTGAAAATCATTTGAAATACTTCTCCGCAAAGTGAGTTGTAATAACACACTCTTTGCATCATTTATGTTCTTTGATTTATTGGCCAGATTGATCCCTGGCAGGTAGGTTACGATTTCCTAAAGTGTGATGAATAAGATTGGATCCCTCCCATCAGCCCCTGCCTCTAGCACAGAAGTCTCTTTAGACTTCTGGAATGGAGGTTTAGAAATGATTATAAGAGCAAGTTTGGAATAGTTTCACCTTCTTAAGTCCATTTTATGGTTTATTCTTTTTTGAGGTTCACAACTATGGGAAATAACTACTATGAGATTCTTTTTTATAAGAAACTAGTCAGCCTATCTCAGAGGCCCTCACTAATGGTTTCTTTCTACACATCAAAATCTTGAAGAAGGGACCCTAGGGAATGTGCTTGATAAAAGGAAAATGTTGAGAGGGATCAAGAGAAAGTAATTCCAGAAATTTCTTCATTTGCCCCATATTATTCAAAATATGCACACACACACACACACACACACACACACACACAGTGTATTTTTTTGCTCCTCTTTGCAGCTTCATAAAAGCATGGTCACTGTAGAATATTCTTATAACCTGAAAAATGGCTCATTCTAGAAATTTAAATTCGGAAAGAATCACAGTCTGCTTATTTTCCTGAAAACTAGAAGAGATTAAAAGCAATAAAAGTGAATGTACACTACAGTTTTTCTTAATCATAATACTCTTTGCTTGTGAACTTTCCTAAGAAAGTTGGTTCTTAAAATGTCTCTGTTGCTAAAAGTACACTGTGATAGCATACAAACCATTTGGGTAATGTCATAGGTCTTTTCTTTTCCCTGAATTAACTGTTCATTAAAGTTGGTGTAATACACTCTGAAGAAAGACTATAACAGACATCTATTGCCTGGTTCATTCTTTATACCTATTACCGTAATGATTTTTATCACTCCTAGACGGTCATGTCCCAGCAGTAGGTTATAGCAGTGTGAAAGGTCTGCACCCAATTAGTTCAATTGGTTTAATCCTGTGGCTAATGAGGCCAAGGTCAAGGGTTTGAGTCCATTGAGTTTCTCCAGTCTTAACTCCATCAGATATCTAACACATGTGTCTTATTAGTCCCAGGGAGAAAAGGCCAGAGGGAAAGGATGGATACACCAGTAGCCACTGCTCCTTCTGGGAAAGGTTTTTGAGAGCAGAGAATCAGGAATTCTTCCCCTTTTTGGTGTCTTGATGAATGAACATATAATGAGGAAAAATAACTTCTCTAGAACACATGCTGAGAAAAAGTTAGAGCACAGAATACTCCCTAGGGAGTATTTGTTTTCCAGATTGGTGTTTTATAGGGTGCTCTGTGGGAAAGCAGGGCTGAATTTGCCATGTAAGAAAATGTCCCTGAATTGTTATGTAACTTCTAAATAATCAGGAATTTACCACATAGATCTGTAAGAATATTCAGTGTATCCCTGCATTTGTAGACCTCACCATACTGTGGTGATTCAGGCTGGGTAAGCGCATACCTTCAGTAAATGCTCTTCAGTGGGTTCTTATAAACAAAAGATCGTCATTAGGTATAATATGTCTTTCCTTGAAATAAATGTTGGCCCAGTACCCTAAAACCAGGTTCTTTCTAGATCTTTGCAACAAATAGGTCATATTTATCATTACCATGAACAAAATGAGATCATTTAAGGGCAAATATTGATTGAAAAATGTATTATATACTTTGTATGTCTACATCGTAAAAAGAAAAATGCCATGTCCTATGCAAATGTCTTCTGAATTGGTTCCCTCTGGCACACATAGATCATTCAGTTTGCCTATATTTTACAGAAAGCTAGGAGGAATTCATTATTAATGGTCTGAGTTTTTGTTTCTTTGTTTTTAATTTGTCCAAAGACCTCTGAAACCACAAAGTTTATGAAGATACATTCTAGTATAATCTTAAGATATTCTATTTGAAAATGAATTTGCATTGCCTAATAGCTGCCCACAGCTTATAAGGCCCTTTAAAGTGACATCAACTACAACTTTGAATATTAATTTCCCCTTAAGATGGTATTGGGTGCTGGTAAGATGACTCAGCAGGTAAAGAAACTTCCTACCAAGTCTGAAGACCTGAGTTTGATCTCTGTAATCCTCATAGTGAAAGGAGAGGATCGACTCCCGAAAGTTGATCTCAACATGGCAACTGTGCACCCACACAACATATTCACCTCTCTAAATAAATAATAAAAAGATAAATAAATAAATAAATAATAAATAAATAAAAGGTATTTTTTAAAAGATGGTATTGTTTTGCAGACTGATAATGGAATACAGAAATTGCTTTTGAGGCAAACTTGCATTTTCTTTTTCTCATATTTACTCAGAGACTTAGTGCTTAGCCATTGAAGAATGAGAGAAGTAAAGTTATCTTTCGTAGTGACTTGCTGAAGCTGAATGAATACTTTGTTCCTCTCTGTATCTAATGTTGGCATATTTTCAAAGGAAGGTAACCTCCCAATTGCTTGGGCCTCCTAAGGAGCACCCCTCTATTACCGGACCTCCTTTCCTATACCCAGCATACATGTTTGCACACTCTCTGGAGGGCATGCACTCTTCCTGGCCTGGTTCCCCAAGGCAAGATCTTTCCCAATAGCCTGGGCGGAAATTAGTCTTGAAGAGTCTCTGTCAGCAATTTAAGGGTGGTACATTTCACTCAAAAGTGAAGCCAAAATGTACATCAAGCTTTATCACGTGGGATTCTCGTTTGAGCTGACCGAGGTCAAGCTCACTGGGAAATGAGTTTTGAGTGTCTTTCGAACTCACTGATAAGCCTCACTTGGCAGAGCCTAAAATCCTGTTTTTAGAAGCTCTTGCTAAACCTGAATTTGTTATATAACTTCTAAACTCCAACTAAGTTACCTGGAGCTTTGATCCTAAAATTAGTAGGGGATATGATAAGTCTAATTTGGTATATAAAAACCAGAACTCTACTATAAGGAGTACATGAGGTGACAGACAGCCTCACAGGATCTCCGGTCACCACAGACTCTAGTCTAGGCTGACTCTGGTAAAAACAAGAAGTGGGGTTTTCTGTGAGCTTGTTTGCAGTGCTAGAATGAACACTGGGCCTTAGGTGTGCTGGTCAAATACTCTACCACTGAATTATATCCTCGGCCCTGATTCTGGTAAAAGCGTATCTTTAAAGCAGAAGCCGTCAGAATATAGCAGTGAACTTATTCATGTGTACAAGAAAGCATCTTATTAACACAAACTGAAAATAATGTCCAAAATTTTCTTTCCTCTTTCCTGTAACCATAAAGCCTTTTAATTTCAGATTCAAAGACAGTTGTACTTAAGTTATAAAAATCCTTGAGGGCTAGGGAATAGCACAGTCAGTAAAGTACTTGTGACATAAGGATGTGGGCCTGAGTTCCATCCCCAGCATCCATATAAAAAGCCAGGTGCTGTGGCATGTGCCTGTAATCCCGGAGTTAGGAGGCTGAGACAGGAGGATCCCTGGGGTTCACCAGCCAGTCAGTCTCACAGAATCAGCCTTCGTTCAGTGAGAAACTTGTCTCAGAAAATAAGGTGTGTAATGACAAGGAAAACACCACATGTTGACTTCTAGTCTTCATTCGCATGCATACTCATGTATGTCCACACAGATCTTAATATGCAGGAAAACAAAAATCACCTTTATTTCGCCTCCTGCTTAGTAGATCTGTTGTGTAATTTCGGTTTTGTGCAGCAGTGTGTCAGCTTTTCTGCTTGAGAAAATAGAAGGGATCATTTAAATACATTTTTTCATTAGAGGAAAGTGCAGAGAAAAGGCTTCAACACATTTGAAATCAGAGGCCTCATTAGCATCAATGTATTGCTTAAAGATTGCACTTAAAGATTGGTCGTAACTTAACAGATATTTGTTATTTAATACTTTGTGATTTGCAGTAGGACAACTGTCAATTAATAGACTATTTCTTTTCTGGTCATAATGTATTCTTTTCAGGAAGTTATTTGACACTCTACTAATTAGTGATGAGATAAGCTCATAAGTATAACCTGTGATGAGAAAGAAAGTTTGAGAAGAGTCACCACACAGTAACTTTAAGATTAAAAACCCAGGAAGAATAAAAAATTTAAAAACATTTTTTAAATGGGGCTGGAGAGATGACTCAGTGGTTAAGAGCACTGACTGCTCTTGCAGATGACCCAGGTTCGATTCCCAGCACCCACATGGCGGCTATGAACCATCTTTAACTCCAGTTCCAGGGAATCCGAAGCCCTCTTCTGACCTTCGCAGCATTGCACGACACAGGTGCACTCACATACATGCAGGCAATACGCTCATATATGTAAAATAAAAATAATAAAAAAATAAAGAATAAAAACCTAGTAAGATTAACACTGTGTGTGTATCACAGGCATTCAAATAGCCTTTAAAGTACTCAACCCAGGGTCAGAGGGCTGGCTTAGCATATAAAAGTACTTAACTGCTCTTGCAGAAGACCCGGATTCTGTTCCCAGCACCCACCCAGCTCACAAACACTTGTACCTCAAGTTCCAGTGGATCTGACACCCTCTTCTGGCCTACTCACATGGTGCACATAAACTCACACAGGCACACACATACATAATAAAAAAAACTTTGAAAAACACTCATCACAAGAGGATTTCAGTTTTACAGCCATTACCAAGTTTTGGTTAAGGAAGGAAAGGGAATCCCAATCCTCCTGCTCACTTTTTCCTTTTCTTTTATCACAGTCTAGTTTTCCCTTTGAATATTCATACACTTTCTAAAAATTCTCTTTGACCATATGACATCTTTCAAATTAGCTGCCTTTGCTAGAACACTTCATGTTTCTGATGAGTCTTTTTACATTTTTTAAAGGTTTTCTTCAAACAACTGCTGATGAGTTTTGCTTTTACTATGCCAGAAAAGATGGTGGGTTGTGCTTTCCAGATTTCCCAAGAAAACAAGTCAGAGGACCAGCATCTAACTACTTGGACCAGATGGAAGAATATGAGAGAGTGGAGGAGATCAGCAGGTCGGTACAAATCAATGTTCTTTACTCGTAAATCAAAAGTACCAATCAGGGCTTTTGACTGAGCCTCACCTGGCTGCAGCTGTGCTCGGGGCTATGGAGTCCACGTGCTCTGAGCTCTTCTTCTTTTTTTCTTTTTGATAGTTTGCTCCTCTAAAATCATAGCTTAAATGCTTTAATGCTTAGACTGCTAATCCTATGTTATGAGCTTGGCTTCCCTGTGACTCAGGGGAATTTTATAGGCATAGTGTTAGACTTGAATTTTATGATTGTTGTTAGCTATATGGCACTGTGGAAATATTCAGCACAATTATTATTAGCAAATCATATTTTTAAAAAAATAAATACGTCTTAAAACTTTTTCTTTGAGTGCCTTATTATGAGAGTTCATCACTGTGAAAAAACCATTTTAATTACAGTCATTGAGAGATGAGTTAATGAAGTTTTGGAATACATGTTTTGGGTTTTCACTTTTACTTTCTGAGGAAAGGGTATCTTATTCTTTTCCACTGAAAAGAGCTTAAATGACTCCCTGAAAAGAATAGGATGCTTGCGTTAGCAGCCCTTCATGATTTCTGAAACCATTTGTTCTTCGGGGAAGAAAATTCCGGAAAATATGCTGAGTGCGAACGCTTGCACCTTCATCTCAGGAAAAGCTGACTGGTTTTCTTCGATTTGTTTAGAAAACACAAACACAACTGCTTCTGTGTCCAAGAGGCTGTGAGCGGGCTTCGACAGCCTGTCGGAGCCGTGAACAGTGGGGATGGCTCCCACAGGCTCTTCATTCTGGAAAAGGAGGGCTACGTGAAGATCCTCACCCCAGAAGGAGACATTTTCAAGGAGCCTTATTTGGACATTCACAAACTTGTTCAGAGTGGAATAAAGGTTAGCTTTCTACATCTTATTTCTCTTTGCTATGGCTATGTCGGCTTCATTTTAATGCTCTCTTCCTCACTGAAGGTATTTCTTGTCATAAAAGAAAGAATTTTGAAGGGGAAATAAGAGGACAACCTAAAAGAACAGTAATTACGGTGGCTGAAAGGGCAACGCTGTTAAACTCTGTTGTGTGCTGGCTGACTGAGCACCGCAGTCAGATGTGCTCTCCCTCTGTAGTGGTCATATTCAAAGCAACATTTGCTTTTAACTGTTAATTAATGGGCATAGCACTTAGTGTTGTGCATTAGCATTTTCAAGTAGAAACAAAGAGATCTGTTGGTTACTTTGAAAGTTCTGTTCCCTTATTTCACCTTTTCTGTTCACGTCATGAAAAAAAAAAAGTTTTTTCTTCTTACACTATGACTTCTCTGTACAATGTTTCTACAGGTCAGGTGAATATTTTTACCTGCAACTAGTCATCTGTAGAATACATACAGAGAATATATAAGCAGGCCATTGCTTATTTTCTCATTTGAATTCTCACGTCAAATAACCTAGGTGTGTAAATAAAACTATCCTCCAGTCCATTTTCTGGCAAATAAGACAGCGTTAGCAGTAGAAAGCCATAAAGAACCTTGTGACATTCAAAAGTTGAGGCACATTTAACTGCTTGTGACTAGTTTAGCTTATGAAACAAAGAAGTAGCATGGTTTAGAAAGAACTGGTTATCCTTTTAATTTCTTGAGTGGAAAAAAACTCGAAAGGAGGACTCATGTAAAAATGAAATCAGCACATATGTAGAAGGCAGAAGACAACTTCTGGGAGTTGGTTCTCCCCCTTCCACTGTGGGATCCAGAGATCAAACTCAGGGCAATTGGGCTGACATATGTGTTGCTTGATTTTTGTCTTCTTAAATAGTAAGGCCACCAAAGTCAAAAGAAACAATTCAGAGAAAGGTACATTCCTAATATCTGTTCACTATCAAGCAGGTTAAAAAAGAAGTTAGAATAAGGAATCAGTTAGATCACAGGTAATGCTGTACAGCTGGAACCACTCGGGCTCATGGTATGATGGTGCACCTAGACATACTGTATAAAGAAAGTAAACCTGGGGCTGACAGTGGTCGAGCACTTGCCCAGCATGCAGAAGGTCCTGGGTTCAACCCCCAGTACCACAAAAACAAAGAAAAAAAGAAAAAAAAACTGAACCAGAGAGCTGACTCAGCTGGCAAAAACACTTGTCATACAATCCCCCCAATTGCCCTGTTGATCTCTGGATCCCACAGTGGAAGGGGGAGAACACACTATATAATCAACTATATGTCCTTTGGAGCTGGAGATGATACAGCTCTGTGGCAGAATGCTTACCTAGAATGTATAAGGCCCTGGCTTCAATACTCAGCACTGGGAACAAAAATTTAAAAAGTAAACCTTTTCTTTCTTTCTTTCTTTCTTTCTTTCGTTCGTTCGTTCGTTCGTTCTTTCTTTCTTTCCTTCTTTCTTTCTTTTTATTATTTTTATCTTATGTGTATGTGTGTATTGCTTGCATGTAGGTGAGTTCACCCATGTCATGCAATGCCTGCAGAGGTAAGAAGAGGCTGTCGGATCCCCTAAGACTGGAGTTACAGATAGTTGTTAGCTGCCATGTGGGTACTGAGATTTGAACCTGGGTCTTCTGCAAGAACAACTAGTGTTCTTAACCACTGACCCATCTCTCCATCCCCCCCACCCCCCCGCCAAAGAGTAAACCTTTTCTGTGATAATACTTGTCATCCCAGTACTTGGGGATGCTAAGCCAGGAAGATCCCAAATTCAAGGCCAGCTTGCATTAGATAATAGGACTTGTTTGAAAAATAGAAATAATGTTTTTTTTAATTTTATTTTCCTATGTGTATGAGTGTAATGGCTGCATGTATGTACATGCACTCATGATGTCCAATGCCCACATAGGCCACAAGAAGGCATCAGATCCTCCGAAACTGGAGTTACAGATAGTTGTTAGACACCATGTAGGTAGTGGGAACTGAACTCAGGTCCTTTGCAAGAACAGCCAGTATTCTTAACCACTGAGCCATCTCTCCAGTCCCATAAATAAATATTTTTTAAAGAAAGAGAGGAAGGAAACATTTCACAGAAAAGAACTTTGGCACCAAGATGCAGAATATTTTGGAAACTCTTTTGTTTTTAACTCAATGGTTTCAGCTTTCTGTGAATGAAACTTGTCACTAGAATTTACAGCAGGTAGTCAGGAACAAGCATCAGTGTTTTGTAGCTTTGCGTTCGGTGGACACTGTCTGCAGTGGCTCCTGATAACTCGCTGTGGTATTTGCTCCTGAGCAAAGATGAAGAGCCACCTGTGTTTGTCGCTCACTAGCGGTAGCTACTTTTTTCTTATAAAAGGGAAATATGATCCAATGGGGGGAAAATATTTTTCAAATCATCCTCTGTGATGCCACTGGTTAAAGAAAACCACTATTAACCTTTGGTAGATTTCCTTCTGGTTTTTATATTAAAATTGAATAATTGTTTTTCCTAGAAACCTTTTCTTAGCCTTTTGCCTGAGTAACTTTTACATAAAATTAAAATCAAATCACACACACGTTCCCCCCACTTATCTTGAGACTTTTCTAAGATTTTGGAAACTTTTTTTCAAAATCTTGTTTTGGTGGCTGGAGAGATGGCTTAACAGTTGAGACCACTTGCTATTCTTCCAGAAGACCTGAGTTTGGTTCCCAGCAGCCATTTTGGTTGTGGCACAGCTGCCTGTAACTCCAGCTCCAGGGACTCCAAAGCCCTCTTCTGGGCTCCAAGGGCACCAGCACTCATGTGTTATACATACACAGAGGCAAATACACAAACACATGAAACTTTTTTTTAAATCTCAATGCTGGAGAGATGGCTCAGCAGTTAAGAACACTAGTTGTTCTTGCAGAAGACCCGGGTTCAAATCCCAGCACCCACATGGCAACTTCTGTCTGTAACTCCAGTCCCAGGGGATCCGACAGCCTCTTCTGACCTCTGCAGGCATTACATGACACGGGTACACCTACCTACATGCATGCAATACACGCATACACATAAAATAAAATATAATAGTAATAAACAAATTTTTTTAAATGTGCTCATTTAAATCCTTTAGATGTACAGCCTTTTAAGATGACACCATCATTCCAGTTTTACCACTGTAAGCAAGTTTATTACCTGACTGCTGGACTATTTCCTTAATATTTATTCATAAAAAGAGAATTACTGAATGAAATGATATATACCATAATATACTATTTCAATTTGCTTTAAAATGTATCTTCAAATCATTAAGGAAATAATATATAGCTTTCAAATGATATTTAAGAAAAATGTAGGTGTTAAAAAGATATGTATGACAAATGTAGTTATAAGAAAAGATTAGGGGACTGGAGAGATGGCTCAGTGGTTAGGAGCACTGGCTGTTCTTACAGAGGACCTGGGTTCGATTCCCAGCACCCACATGGCAGCTGACAACCATCCATAACTCCAGTTCCAGGGGAATTCAATGCCCTCTTCTGACCTCCGTGGGGATTGCATGACACAGGTGCCCTCACATATATGTGGACAAAATAAAGGACTTAGAACACTGGAAAATTTACTGTAAGAAGTAATAAAACTGATAATCTTATTTCTACTTCAATTTAACTGTGTAAAAAACAGATGGCTCTTTTTTATGTTAGAATTTCTTTGAAGCCCTTCTGTTTCAATTTACACATAGTCTTTGGGATACTGAATGGAAGAGCCAGTGGAATATTCTATTCTGTCATGGAAGCATTTCATAATGTAATAAAATTGTACAAGGCAGGATGCTTGTACTAGAACCCTCTAGGAATTCTACAGAGCTTGACCAATCAAGGAAGAAGTCCTGCCAAAATTGGTTTCCATGTTTCCTGAGTAGCTCCAGTTTCTGGGGCTTAAAATAAATTCAAAATCTATTATTCTAGTGAACTGATAGGACATACTCAAAGTTCAGTATTTTTAATAGTCAGGGTTTAACACTAATGCTGTCGCTAAGATCGGAATCTGTTTCGTAGATATTTAAATGTGTTGAATGAACCACATCTTGATAAAGTATTCTGTGCTACGTGGGTCTGCCTTTCATTTGCTATGGAGGTGTTAAAAGAGGCTACTTCCAGTGTGATAGGGTGGACGCCACAACATTCATGAGTGATTTATGAGTTGATACCGCTGATTTTTATAGTTTTTCTTTCAGGGATTTAAGAAATGAAAGCGTTTTCACCTGTTTCACAGTGACTTTCCAGGCTTCTTTGGTACAGGAGTATTTAATGTGTTCACAGAAGCATTTTGTGTTTATTTACAAGCCTTACAGTAGCAATCTTATTCGTGTGACATTAATTAATGGCCTTTAGGAATAAATTATATCAGGCATGAAGGACAATCCCTGATTATACCAGTTTATGGCAGTCAATGCTGGCTATAAAGACATCTGGAATGCTTTCTGTGCTAATTGTCAGCTAAGAATGAATATAGCGGAGCCTGAAAAGATGTCTCAGCAGTTAAGAGTCCTGGCCACTCTTGCAGAGGACCCAGGTTCAGATCCCAGCCCCCACATGGCATGAAAACATCTGCCCCCCCCACACCTCCCTTGGTCCCAATGACAAACTGAGATATAATTTTTCCGAACTTCAGACTGGGAAAACAATGAGTTTATTGGGCTTACTCAGAGCAGTGGGTAAGAGTTTACTGATAGGAATGGGGGGGCTCCCTCCTGCAAGGCCTCATGGGATAGTCTTCACCCAAGCATGGATAGTGGCTTCTCCATAGCCACATAAAATGGTTAGAGAGTCCCCCTCCTTTAGGCTTCCCCAGTCTATATACCCTTAGGCCATGCAGTGCAACAAGGAGCTATAGCTGTACTCGAAGATAAGGGCCCTGTGCCTCTCCTGCCCTTCCTTCCTTGTGGGGCATGAACACACTTAACAGGCTCAGCTGTGACCATCTTAGACAAGCAGGCTGTCTGAA